GTGTCCGGGACCTGGCTACCTGAGTAAGGAAACGGCTTAAAAGGGTTGGAGAAAAACTAGTGTAAGGAGAGAGACCCCACCGGCTTGCAGTAGGGAGTGAAGTTTTTTGCCTACTTCTTTGCATGTCATGTCGTGCTGGCAACCCTGATCCAGATGAAGGCTTGCAGGGCGACCTTGTCCTGGAGGGCAGGTGAGCTCCGAATTCTTCCTAACCACCCTGGTAGATCATAGAATCGTTTAGGTTGGAAAAGACCTTTAAGATCATCCAGTCCAACCATCAACCTACACTGCCAAGTCCACACTAAATCAATCAGAGGTAGACTAGACTAAACCATGTCCCATGTAAAGCTCTGTCTGCCTATCACAGCCTTACTTCCCAGGGAATGGAGCTGTTCTAGTCTTAAAAGGTTGCCAGCCCTCTCCTGATGTTGACAAGTGCACCTTTGGATGAACAGGAGTAAAATGATGCTTCAGTCAAATGTTTTGTCTCTTCATGCCCAACCTGCTTGCCTGGATATAGCTTCCCTCTCCATTCAAGTGCCCAGGGCTTCCCAGACCATACAGCCAGTTACTGATGATAAGTTTGCAGCAGAACTGGCAACTCACTTGCTCCCGTAGTGTCCAGTTCCAGTGCAGGTGAGGCAAGGTGGGTGAAATAGGTACTGTCCAACCTTGACAAGTGGCCACTCTGTGAGGGAGATTTTTGTGAGCGCTTTGTCTCTAGAGAAAATTTGCCAGCAGAAGAGCCAGCAAAACTCAGCTTTGAGTTAGAAAACAGTAAAATGGTTTCTTTAAAAAACAAAACAAAACACCCAAACCCAAGAACCCTTCTAGCCGAGACCAAAAGATGTGTTCTCTTTTTCTTTTTGTCTGTGGAAATAGGACTGAAGGAATGACAGTGAGATGTATGAATAGTGCCTGTCTCTTCAGTAACTTTTGACTATATTCACCCATTTTAACCAAATGTGGAAAACAGATAAAGGTCTCAAGCTTTCTGTACCATCAGTTTCATGAAAACTGGTGTTTTCATGTAACAGTACAATTAACAGACTGTACTAATTTGTCCTACTGAGAGAATGGCTTCAGCTTGTGCTCTGTGTTTATTAGACATCAGAGAACCCAGAGAGCATTAACTCCTGCAGCACAAACCTGTAGAATAATTGACTTAATCAGCTCTACTGTGCATGGAACAATTTGTTTCAAATTTTGAAATGACATAAGGAAAGTATTTATCAGCATCGGGCTAAGACCAGCAATGTCCCCTTCCCAAATTATGGTGCCCAAATGTCCCCTTCCACCTCCTGCTTTAGGGTGGTAGAAGTTCATTCGTTGGGAAATGCCACATGCACTAGTTTTCCCTGGTTTTCAGCCTTGCTGAGAGCAGAGTGAGCCACAGCCAAGCTCTCAGAGCCAGAGTGCTGGAGGGGCAGTGGCGGGAGCTACTGGTTCCCTCTTAGTGATGCTGAGGGTGGACCTGGTGCCTGTGCTGCTGCTCCCTGGCACTCAGTGCCTGTTTCTGGTCACCAAGCAAGGGGCACAGAAATGCCAAAGGGATTCTTGTGCTGGGAGGGGACCTCTCATTCCACCTTGCATTGGGGTGACAGAACACTGAATGCTGGGGCTTCCCCTCTTCCTTGCTGTGCTGGATGCCCTTTCTTGGGCAGGAAACATCTTTGGGACTCACGGACATGTTAGTCATGGTTAAACTTTCTCTGCTCCTGATTTCAGGTGGGGTGGGATTGAAAGTCCCTCTCCCAGTCTCAGAGAGGAGAGGATTGCATTCTCAGATGAAAGATTTGAACAGTTCATCTCTTGCGTGTTGTTTTGGGTAAAGCTTGCTTAAACTTTGTTGGTACAAGCTTGCGGAGACACTTCCACTGCAGCTGTGCTGAGCGTTGTTGTATGACTGCATTCAATTTCAGCGTCCCTTTCCAATACAAACTCACTGATGCATAGCTATCAGGCACAGATTTGCGTGGGAAATCCTAGCGCCTTTCTCCCTCCCTTCCACATTGGTGCTAGTCAGTCTATTGCATGTTCCCGAGGCTCACCCTGCAGCCCTCCCTCCTCCTTCTCCTGCAGATGGGAGATTCTCCTCCCATTTATTAACTCATAGATGATACCACTATTTGGACTGACTGATTGCCATAAAACTGATGGAAAAACTCCTCCAATTTTGTTAACTTCTAGTCCAGAACCTGGTGTGAATCTGGAGGAAGTCTGCTCCCACTGATTAATTCCTCTGTTTGCCCATCTGCCTGTGGGATAAGACTCTGGCTCATCTCTTGTTAGAGGTGCTCAGAAAAAATAATTTTCCCTCCTGACGATGGGCTAATTTCACCATCTTGTCTGTGGTTATATGTGCTAGAGACAGGCATTGGTAAATGTGCAATATATGCAGATCAGCTGCACTTTGAAAAGCTGTCTCTCTTCTCACCTTCCTAGACAGCAGTTTAGGGATTCCAAGCCTTTCCCAATTCTTTTGCTCTCCATCTGTTTTTAAGGGAGCTGGGTTTGGATGCTGCCAGTGCTCCTGTGTGGCTAAATAAACAGGGCAGCAGATTGCCATGTGGGATCTAAAGCTCTGTCAGATATAGATCTGACCATCTACAGCATAAGCCAGACCTTATGGGTTACGTGTATGAATTTAATTCCTCCCAGAGGCTGAAAACTCTTCCACTGGGAAATTGTTTAAAATCTTAGGCAGCTCCTTCTAGACTTCCAGGCAAGGCTTCTGTGTTTGTATTTTAGTGTGCATGGAGCTTTGATGCTTACATACGGAGTGAGGGCCTTATTTATGTGTGGTTGGTTGCCAGTAATTAAGTTCTTCCGTGGAGAAAGCGGGTAGCAGAAGGACTGCATCAGGGGCTGTGGTGAGCGCCAGGCTGCTTTTCTCAGTTCTGCATGCATATTCATTGCTGATTTTTAGCCTAGGGGGCTAAACTTAATTCTGTCCCTGGTGATGCCAGTGACAAGACTCTCATCCAGTCTGGTGGTCCCTGATTAGTATATGGGGAGCACACTGCCTGCTAACTGTCTCCTCGGATGCCGTTACTTTGCCACAGGCTGGGAGTTCAAAAGACTCCAAATCTCGCCTGCGAAGCCACCGCGACCTCGCATCCCCGAGTTGCACCTCCTCGTGCGAGTACCTCGGCTGGGAGTAAAGGTTGGCTGCAGTGGGGAAAGGTCAGCCGCTGGGCCCTGGGAAAGCCTGAAAAACTCAGGGCTTTTCTGTAGCCAGTAAGTCCCCCGTGAAAAGCCTGCACCTGAGCCGAGCGGTTTTGATCTGAACTCTTTGGAATTCATCGCTTTCTTCTGGCTACCTTCTAATTTGGCCTCGGGTCAAAATCATTTGGCAAGAACAACACTGAGGACAAGTGCCCCCTCTTTTGGCCTTTATCTTGTCTAATTACCAGGAGCATCCCTGCACAATGGAGCGGCTCCTTATTCTAATCTCCTCTTCTTTACTTATCTCCATTTTCTCTCCCTCTTCTTTTGTCTTCCAAAATCCCACGCACCAGGATTGCAAGGCTGGGTACTGGGGTAAAAGGATTGTGCTGTGAGCTGTGGACAAATGCTCTCCCAAAGCTACAGCTTTTCCATTGCTTTTTTTTTCACCTGCATATTTGGAAGGAGTTTCTGTCAGCCCTGGTCCGTGTATCTGTGCTGCTGAGTGGGAGCAAGAGGGAGTAACATGTCCTTTCTCTCCCTGTGTCCCGCAGAGAAACCCGTCAGCCTGACTTACCGATGCCCCTGTCGATTCTACGAGAGCAACGTGGCAAGAGCCAACATTAAGCACCTCAAAATCCTCTCCACACCCAACTGCTCACTTCAGATTGTGTAAGTCTCTTACTCTTTTCAGCTGGGTGCAAATCTCCGGTGTTGAAAGGGAGAGTCACAGCTGGTTCTTGCTTTGGTGGCTGCAATTAGGTCTGTGTCTCATGCCAATTCATCTCTTCACCCCATGTGTCAGAAACAGCTGGACACTGCTTTACCCCACACAAAGGAGCCCAGCTAGATGTTTCCCATCTGTGTTCTACCTCTGTGATCTCCCTGTGACCATGTGATCCCATGTTCTGTTTCCCCCATGGGTATGTGAGCAGGAATCTTTGATGTAGAGCTTCACACCTTGGGGAAAAGACTTTACAGTGGTCTGAGTCTTCTAATGCCCCACTTCTCCACAGAGAGGAGCTAAACAAGCAAAAGTAATTCCTGGATTTCATGTAGCCTCCACAGGAGGTACAGACCCTAACTATGTGCTGGTCGGATCTAGGGACATGCTTACCAGGTAGTGACTGACTCGGGTAAATCACAGATCACAGCAGGGCAGAAATGATGGGTTCCAAATGGAAAATAACCTCTTTGTTTTTTGCTGAAAAAGAAATGCTGATTTTAATGAAAAAATAGGTTCTAGGTTTGTCTGTGTGTGTGTTTTAGGAAGGTCTTTTTGGTTAATTTGCTCATGGATGACCCCCTCCTTCCTTTCCCAAAACTCAAAATCTTCTGGAGGAAAAAAATTAGCATTCTTCTTTTCACTGCAGGGAAGTCCTACTGATCATCAAGTTCTGTTGACCTCTGTAAGAGGGTCTCAGTGACTAGATTGGGTTTCTGTGCAGTACTCCCATCACTAGTTCTGTCTTCGATCCATGTTGGGCTTTTCCAGTTGCAACTTAAGTGCTGTAAAAATCCATTCTTTGTCATCCAAAACATTTCTGCCTTCAGAAAACTGATGTAGTTTCATGAAATTTCTCAGGAATGTGCAGATATATTGAAGAGCATGTATCCATTCATGAACCAGTTTTTATTCATATGATTTTTTTTCTTTTTTTAAACCACTCTGGGTAGATCATACACATTTTTTCCTGTGTGCTTCTGCCTTAGGATTTGGTGGAGGGCAGTGAGAAAAATGTAAGCCTCAGCTGAGAAAAAATTTCCTTTCACAAAAATGGCAAAACCAGCTGTGACTAACTCTGATCTCTACCTATAAACAATTTTGGAGGCAAGCATCCAAAATGCAGTAGTGTATGGATTTGTACTCTGGGACTGTCAATGGATGTCATAAGGGTCCCAGTGCTAAGGCTTTGTAGAGGATTTGTAGAGGATTTTGGAGTAGCTTCAAGAAAATGACAGGCATTTAAGACAGGGTAGAGTATACATTTATCTCTTAATTAACATGGGATCATAGTCATAGAGATGGATAAGAACATGAAATGCAGAAACACAAACAACTCGTGTTCTTGTCCATTCCTGACCCAAATGTGTTAATTTGCAATGTGATTTAGTGGCACGCAGAACACATGAACCTATAGTTCACCATCTTTTTCTTACTTTAAAAAGTAAGGTACTTAAAAACTTACCTCCAAATACCTCTGAAACATCATGAATTCGAACTAGGTCTTTATCGAAACAGAAGCTGAAATGGAATCAAAACTAACACGTAAATTTCTCATCTTGATGGTTTTAGCCACACTCTGAAGTTAGTTAGGACATGCATTACACAGTGAAGGTGCAAGTAACTTAAAAGCTACCATTTTCAGAAATAGAGAATCTCAGTGAAATCATATAGTTTCAGGAAAGATCTTGTAAAGGGGAATGTACTTGTGCAAAAAAAAAAAAAAATACGGTTGAGGGGAATTGTATCTGACAAAAAGCCTAAGAGCAGGCTTTTGTCTTTGGTGCTATGGGAAGTCATCTCTCTAAATCCAGAAATCTCCTCTGTGTATATCTACTTCTACAAAGCCCACCCTAAATTCTCTGCTTTTCAGTACAGTGAAATAGGCATTTTTAGCAACAATTAATTGCATCCTAAAGTAGACACCTAAACCAGTTCAGATTAACACCCCATACAGTTTCCTAGGTCTCTGCCGTGACTGTACAAAGAGCAGGGGCTGACAGGCTCAGAAATAAATGTCTAAAAAAATCAGTGTCTTAATATTAGGTGAGAGGAATTTCCTTGCTTGTGGCTGGAGGCTGGTTACATGTGCTTTTGGTTCTGTACCCTGCAAGGCCAGCTCAAGAGTTCCCAGGCATTGCTAACATCAGCAAATCCATTCTTACTATCTGTTGGTATTACTTCACTGGAAATACTCCAGCTTGGCACTGCTGTAAGGGAAATATGAATTAGGCCCATTCATCGCAGGGCTTGCAAGACTGGATCTTCGATGTGTTTATGTTACAACTGTGTTGTTGCATAACTTCAGACCGAGGAGCCTTTTTGACCTGTTATTTCTAATGCCATAGTTTTATATCCCACAGATTTTATTTCATAAAGCAGGGAACATTTTGGCTTTCATCCAGCAAAAGTCTTAAACAAGTACTGAACTCATTCCTACGGGTATTTCCATGAAAATGCTGTTCTTGGCACTTTGGCATGGCAGGCAAGCTGTTTAAGGGGAAATTTCTGAGCAGCTGGGGCAGAGGCAGGGTGCTTTGGAGGACGTGGGAGATCACAGCACTCTCTAGAGGCCCTGAGATCCCTGGAGGATGAGACCTGCTGATGCAGATGAAAAGCTATTTGTCCTGCTTCTGTAGGAAAGATGCAGATAGCTCAAATGCCAAATTCACGGGGAATTCAAATTAGCTACACAGTCTGGTTTGGAAAGTGCAGCTTGGACATCCAGGAGAAAAACCCCTCAGGAAGTTTCTGCTTTTGTTTCCAGTGCTGAGTGAATACATGAGGGAAAACTTGCCTCTGGCACTGTGGTACTTCCAGTTGTCTTCCTGCCTGCATGTTAGTTCAGTCTTGTAAAAAACAAAAAGCTAACCAGATCCTTTCAGAACATCCAAGAGGTATGGTTTGGTGTCTGTCCTCAAAACATGTGAAACTTCAATTTTGGGTTGAATCTGAAAGCTATTTTTAATTAATTCCTTGCAAAAATTACCTGTATTTGCCATGTCAGTATTTCCAAATGAAACTTAGCTGTTCCCGGCACTGAAGTCGTAACAGTCCAGGTATGACTTGGAAAACTTAGATTTAAATTCTGTATCTGTCTCACCCCCATATGCATACCAGTACAGACCACAAGAATCAGCATCAGAGGAGACAAATTGTACCAGTACTTTGAACCCAGGGATATTTATAACAGGTGCCTTGCGGATGGCAGGGATAACCCATCCTCTTTGTGGGTTAACTGAGAGGGTCACTGACACCCAAGGGAGTCAGACACAGCTCTGCTGTCCGTAATGGAATTGCAGACCTGTGTGCAAAATAAGGCATCTGGGTGGGTGTGCGCTGGGGAGCATCACACACTAAACTCACTCTGACTTTTCTCCTTCGGCAGTGCAAGGCTCAAGAGCAACAGCAAGCAAGTGTGCATTGATCCCAAGTTAAAGTGGATCCAGGAATATCTGGAGAAAGCTTTAAACAAGTAAGGCAAGAGAAAAATGGACTTAACAGCTAACATCCTGAGTTATTAAAGGGTAGAACATTAAGGGCTGGCTTTTACCATGTGGACAAACTACTTGTGGAATCAGATACTGTTTTGAAGATGGGTTTGGAGTTGACCTAGTCTGTATTAAAACAACAGCTTCTAGTATATCCTAAATGTTAAACTAAGACTTTTTCCAGGGTTTGAGGCAAAATCTATCCTAATGAATCTGTTCTGGGGTCTCCAGCTCATCCTCTTTTAAAAAAAGCCGTTCTCCCAAGGAAAATGCTTCCCTCTTTCCCAAGCCAAACTACAATTACTTCAAAATCTAAATTGTTCCAGTTTCTTTGGAGCCCCTTCTCCATGTTACACTGGGGGTCTGTTTGCACAGGTAGCTAAGGCCTGGGGTGCTCTTAATATCGGCCAAGGTGAGATGTGTTGCCATGAATAAGGCTTTCCCAAAAGGCCAGGGCAAAACCAGCCATACTTGGCAAATTCAGACTTTTGAAATCTATTTTTATTCCCCTTGAAAGCAGGTGATCATGGCTACCCTGAGGTGGAGCCAACATATATCTGTTCAACTTTATGGTGAGCAAGAGCAGCACAGAGAACATTTCTGTGCTGAGTTGCAGGGGAGGGCTCTAGCCTTCCTGGGATGGAAGATGAAACAAATGATGGTACAAAGCATTTCTTTGCTTGCCCAGAGCCCCGAGCTACAGTTGATCCAGCAGCAGCATTTTGGCCAGCAAGCCTACCTGTGCACTCAGTATCCGTCCCACACTTGCCACCACATTCCCACCCCTCAGTAACTGTGCTGTAACCATGCTGAACCTTGTTCCCCCTGCATCTGTAGGGCAAAGACAGGGCTGGAATCCAGTCATTTGCAAAAGAAATGCATTCCTGGAGAAATGTGGGGAAGGGTATGGCCCCAGGGCAGATGTGAGGCAGTACAGGTAGCTGAATGCCCTCCACTGTTTGCTTTGCAAATGCATCTGCCAAACAAGGGATAGAGTTAAAAAAAAAAAAAAGAAGTCTTTGTTCCTCTGTGTTTTTACAATAAGCAAGGGGAGAAATGCTTCCAGAGGTAGAGAGAATCCATGTGGCCCTTTTGGGACCACACTGGGGCCAAGAGTGAGGAGGAGGAGGGAAGGAAGCCAGCTAACAAACTGACTGTGATTCCAGCTCTGACAGCTCTTCCCATCTCATCTGATGCTCAGTGCCTTCTTTGCTGCCAGCACTCAGCCCTCTTGTCCTTTGGGCAAATTCTCTGCAGAGGTAATCCGGGTTAATGCTGCCAGGATGGTTTTGGATTTAGGCACAACTAAACCTAAGAGCAGGATGTGGCCCATGCTGGCTATCCTAGGGGCTTGGGCTACTTTGTTTTCCAGCTTGGGAAAATTCTCAAGCCCCTGACTAATTTTCTGTTTGCCATCAGCCCCAGTGAAGCCCTTGGTGCTGTTCATAAGACCTGAAACTTAGGAGGCACTTAAGAAATTTGTAGGGTTGGGCAAATGTGATTATGTGCTCACATCCTGCCTGCCTGACTTAGGGGAACAACTCAGCTGGAACACGTTCTGTTCTCACTTCCACTGGTGAAGATCTGGGGCCAGCTCTACTGAAACCAGTGAGCCCGTGCCTGATCTTCAGCCAGATGCTGGGTTTTGTTTACCTAACTATAATCCAGAAGCAATTCTGTTAATTTGGTGGGTTTCATCCTGATCTACATTGAGTAATGGAAGAGAATTTGGTCCCAGCTCTATGAAATAAGATGACAGAAAGCATATATCTCCATCACCTACTCCTGTAATCATGGCATTATTTTAATTTTCCAACTAGTAACGCTAGCACCAGTGGCATTTTCATGCTCCACAGACAGTCAGGGCTCTGTCTGTAGCAGCATTTTCACAAGGCATGTTTTTGATATATCTTAGTGCACAGCTTTGACTTCTTCAATGAAATGTACTTTGGAATATATTTATAGCGCATCAAACAATTCATATATTTGAATTGGAGCCATATGAATGTTGGTAGTTTAAAACACCGATATCCCCCTAAACTACTAACAGCTTGTAAAAGAAATCTATATAGATCTATAAATGTTAATGTAGCTATCCATTTCAATCAGCCATATATTATATTTTTTCACTTGTACTGAAATTGTATGAAATGTGACATTACCCTATATGCACTAGCAATAAAATGGCTAATTGTTTCATGTTATGAAAACCCAAATGTACATGGGAATTTATTTTTCTGGAATAAAAGCAATACATTTTGTAGAAAGGGCTCTTGTAATTGCTTAAGTAGAATCCAAAGTGTCAAGACATCTTAATCTATACCAGTGCTTCAATATGAGAGTATCTTCTGTGTTATAATCTGCAGCTAAGGGCAAGGAAAAGTTCATAGAATATAGCAGTCCAATACAGTTGATTGTGAAACCAGAGATGGTTTTTAGTAGGGAATTATTTTGCTCACTAATTCTGCTTAGCCTTTATTATTGCTTTATATTCATCACATCTCCATGTAATGTACATACTTTTGAGACATCAGTAAAATACATGCAGGCTGTCAGGAATCCAAATTGCTTAACTGGCTTTAAAAATCATTGTGCAGCTGCTGTGGCCAACATCATTCAATATTCATCCATTTTACAGACAAGGGGCAAATCAGTCCTTTCTTGAAATAGCTAACAACTTCTTTATCACTTCCAGGCAATCCCAGTCATTCTTTACAATACATTGACTGCCTTTTCCTTCTCCCTTCATGCAAGGATATGCAGAATCAGGCCCTTGCAGAGTAAACAGACACCAGAGAATCATCCTGGTTTGTCTGTTGTCACGTTAATATAGTCCCACCTCAGAACTTCCCCTCAGCCTGAGATCCTGGAGTCCATTAAGCTCAGTGGCTACTGCTGGCACAGACGAGAGAGCTGATGGATCTGGAGAAGATAACAAAGTCAAACAGTAAAAACCTTTCCCTTGAGCTAGCTGGGAGAAAGGAAAGGAAGCTCCCAACTTCTAGGGGCTGGCTGTGATGGGAGCCAAGCCCTGCTGCTGCCTTCCTCCATAGTGCTTGTAAACCCTGGTGTGGCAACTCTTCCTAATTTCTGACCTCATTTGTAAATAAGGGCTGAAGTACAAGATGCCAAAAACACTACCTCCCAGTACTCCACCAAGTGTGTACTGGGTGAATGCCACACACGGTGGGGGACAATGTAGGGGACTATCTTTACAGCCTTGTTTTAAGGCACCAAATGCCCGTAAATCCCATAGAGTAGCCACTGGTTCTTGTTGATGTCAGTGGGAATGCTGGGTGGGAAGCCAGAAATCCATCCCCCTTCTGCTTTCATTGTATCTCAGGGGGTACCATGCGCATGGTGAGGTTCCTGGCTGACAAGTTCTGGCAGGCATCTGGGGAGGCTTTGGTGTTTTGGGGAAAAGAGTTGTTCTGGCCTCAGAGTTTGCAAGTGTCCTGTCACCAGGGCACTTTAATTTGCCTAACGTTCCTCTGAGGCAGAGGGTATGTGGAAGGGGATGTTATCTTCATTTGCACCCTGCCAGCAAGATGTGAAGGGACCATAGGATAAATGTGAATAAGGCCTTTGTATATGGATAATTTATGGCAGTCTTTTTGTATTTTTCTTTTAATTTAGACCACGTCATCGCACTCATAAAAAAAAGCAACAGAAGAAACGGGGCCCACTCTGCCCTTCCCGTGCAACACCACTAAAGTCTCCAGGGAGAAAGAATGGTAGGAGGCATTAGTTTCTGAGCTGGGATACCTCAGGTTCAAGTCCCTGCTCTTCCACTGACCATCCTATGTGACCTTGGGCAGATATATTAGCCTATCCAGGCCTCCATTTTTCCCCATATTTGTTGAGGATAACAACTGTACCCTCCCTGCAAAGGGGTATTAGATAGATAAAACTCTTAAAACAGGGGGAAAGTTCAGCCAAAACAGAGGTGAGAAAATTTTCCCATTTTACACATGGGAAAATGGAGACCCAAAGAGGCCAAAACAACCCTGAAGCAAAGCCAAAGTCAAAAATAGGATAAAGGTTTGGAAGCCCTATGTCTTTTAGCTGGCCATAATCCTCCAATACCAAACTTACAGAGTTAGTCTATAAATAATAGCTGGGAATTTGTCACTGGTGTTTTTTTAATGAAAAATGCAGCACTGAGTAGTGACAACAGGATTTGGTGCATTGGTGACTGGTTGACATCTCTCCTATGGGAGATGCTGGGCAAGTCCCAGAGAATGGTGTTACGTATGCCAATGCCCTGGATGTCCCAGTTGTTTTTTTCCCCACCAGGGTGATGTGTCCTGCCTTTCTGCACCAAAAAATGTAAGGTTGCTGGTATGGGATATTGTAAAAGATATCTTCAAAGAGGAAAATTGTGCTCATGGCTTAGTCATCCTCTTTATGCCTGGGTGAGTTTTCCGAGGCTACCTTCACTGACAGTAGCCACAACTGTCTCTGGCTGTGGTCATATGGTCTTAGTTGTCCAGCAGGCATTGAAAGGGATGTTTGTTCTGATCCTGTAGGTTAGATGAGACATGCTGGGACATCAGGGTTTTTGAATACCTGGTGTTTACCTTCTGACACTTGTAACTCAGCCTTAGTGACCTCATCTAGATTGCAAGAGGCCGATCAGCCTGGAGTAGGAGTAGGGGTCACTTCAGACAAAACCTGGAGGCCACCAGCACAGACTGGCTCCTTGTTCTGAGTGAACCCTGCACACAACACACTTGCACTTTGCTCTGGTCCCTAACCCACCACTCTTCCTGGGTGCCATGCTCACACTGATCATGGTAGACTCGATGTGTCTGCCTCCTACCCTGGGATCCCTACCTCTGCACTTAACGCCTCACACATTTACTGTGCAGCATGTGGCTGCTTGTCCTCCCTGTCACCCCACCTTCACTGGGCAGCTGGTCACCACGAGCTGGGACGTGCTACCCAGCTGCTCACAGCAGGTGAGGTCCCAGAGCAAGGAGGCCATGGGCTTGGCTCCTGGCTGGGCAGCACACTCGGGGGTCTCTGCTCTCCAGCTGCCCCATGGTGGGAGCTGAACACCAACAAGAGCAGAGCATGGGCTGTCCTCTGTGTTCCTCCATTCTCACAGAGACCTGGCACCCTGTGGAGCTGCAGTCCATGATCTCCAGCAGAGCTGTGGGGTAGGGGCAGGTAGAGGAGGCATTCCCAGTGCCACTTGCTCCACTACTGGGGCTGCTCACAAATGATTAATCCCTCCTTCCCTTGCTGTGTTTTTTGCCGAGTCTCTTGTGCCCACCAATAATTCTCTGCTCTGGCTTTCAAGTCCAGAATAAGCTTCCTAGCCAGCCTTCCTCGTATGTTAGCTCTGAACACCTTACTAACTGTGATGAGCACAACCTGCCCAAAATAACTCCCATTGCTGGGTTTGCCCTGCTGGGTCCCAGTAACTCCTTGTGGAGAACTTCCCCCAAAATGTTTGGCAAATACTGGCTGGAGGGACAGCAAAAGAAATGCCTTTGGGTTAGTCCAGACACAGAGTTGCTGTTTGACTAGGCCTGATATCAAAGCTTTTGCAACTGAAATAAACCTTAATAGTGTTTCACTCTCTTCTTCATCAACAGGAGGTTCAAGATGTAAGAGGCAAGCATTGTAAGCCGTCTACAGGATTTCTTACTATAGGACCCAGAGAGCAGATAACCAGTATTAGGGAATGAATACATTTCACTGTTATCATGCAGCACAAAAGCAACGCTTCATGCATTTCCAAAGGTTTTTTTTGTTTGGGTTTTTTTTGTGTGGGCCCCCCCCCCCCCCCCCCATC